AAGAAACCTGAGACTCAGAGAGTATTTCCACGATCATCCGCAAGACACCAGAGAGCGCATTCCTAATACTTTGAATAAGTCATGGACTCCAAAAGAGCAACGCGACAAGTACCTTGATTTGTACATCGAATCGGTACAGCGTGATGTGATCAGAAACTATCAACAACGAAAATGTCTACGTCACAATCTCACTCCAGCTGAACGCGTCGCTATGCGTGAACTCAGCTCAAGAGATGATATTATTATTAAACCTGCTGACAAAGGAGGAGCCATAGTTTTTATGAATAAGCAAGACTATCTAGATGAAGGATTTCGCCAGCTAATGAACCAACAATTTTACAAAGAACTTCAAGCAGATCCGACCAAAAAATTCACTAAACTAATAACGGACACTTGGGACTTAATGCTGGATAATGGAGACATTTCGGAGGAGATGCATAAAGCAATGAAGCCGGCCTATCCAAAGGCTGGCCGCTTTTACACATTACCTAAAATTCACAAACAAGGAAATCCAGGACGACCAATTGTATCCGGAATAGACACGGTGACAGAGAGAATTTCTAGCTTTGTCAATTTCCTTATTATGAACCTTCCCCCTACGATGCCATCATACATAAAGGACACAAATCACTTTCTTCGAGAAATAACAGAACTTGTAACTCCTACTGACGCAATCCTGGTCACCATGGATGTTGCGTCCTTATATACAAACATCCCTCACCAGGATGGCATCGAAGCAGTAATCAAAGCGTATAACAATGACCCTCCAACAATTCGTGTCAACAACGACGTCCTCGCAGCACTTCTCAGGTTAGTTTTAGAACACAACAACTTTGAATTCGAAGGACGACACTTTCTACAGACTCGGGGAACTGCAATGGGCACAAAGATGGCCCCTAACTATGCAAATCTTTTTATGGCCGATTTAGAGTCACGCTTCTTGTCTAGTCGCTCTCTGCAACCTCTGGTTTATAAGCGATACATCGATGATATATTTATGGTATGAGCACACGGGGAGTCAGCACTCACAGACTTCATTCGGGATTTCAACGGTCTCCACCCCAGTATTACGTTTTCGCACAGTTATTCTAAAACGAGCATTGATTTTCTTGACGTAACAGTCGAGATCAGCGGGAATGCTCTTACAACAAAACTCTTCAGGAAGTCGACGGACCGTCAACAGTACCTGCACTTCAAGAGCTCCCACCCTAAACATTGCAAAACAAGTATTCCCTATTCTCAAGCTCACAGATTCCGGAGAATATGCTCCAGTTTAGATGAATTCGAACGCAACGCCAGCAATCTGAAACTCGTGCTATCCAAGCAGAATTATCCACCAGCCATTGTCGATAAAGCCATTGAAAAAGCACGTGCTCTCGACCGAGAGCAAGTTATCAATCAACCCCAACCCAAAATGTCACAAAACGAGCACGCCAACCTGGTGGTTACATATTCAGCCCGCCATCCAAATTTAAACAATATTCTCAGGAAACACCGCAGTATTTTGCAGCAAAGCGATAAATTACGCACCCTTTTTTCGGTATCACCACGCGTGGTATATCGATGAGGTAGAAACCTTAAGGACATATTGGTGCACTCGAAAAATAGAACTTCTGACGTTTCTGGTTGTAGACCTTGCCAGACGCCCAGGTGTGAAATTTGTGAATATGTCGAAACCACCAATCTTGTCACAAGCGCGAACTCTGGCTTTTCTTTCAAAATCACTGGTAACCTCAACTGCGGTACGCGTAACGTTATTTATCTTTTACGCTGTAAACTATGTAACATGGATTATATAGGACAAACCAGTACTTCATTTCGGTTGCGCTTCAACAATCACAAGTCTCATATCAAGTCCTTACCCACGCTCCCCTTCTCAAAACACATGCATCTTAAAGAGCATAGCATTGAAAAAATACGTGTCATCCTTCTGGAATCTGGATTTAGCTCTGATCACGACAGAGAGTTGAAGGAGGCTTTTTTCATTCACAAATTCAATTCGGTTGCTTGTGGTATTAATGCAAGTCCAGGCGTGCTCACTTGGCTGCCACGCTGTGTGTAGGGCCGAGGCCACACAATTATTTTGGGTTTGCACGGACTGTACTAGCCGAGCGCGTCGATGACATTGTTGCACCAAAGGCGCCTGCCATCGTGAGCTCGTTCCACGCCTCTCGTGAACATCCTCGTGAGCGTGCATCCCGTGGTAATCCTTCCGCTGCGTTAAATTCTTGGGCGCGTAAGCATCATTCAAATATGACATAAATACTTCATAAAAAACCGCCACGGCACCCTTGCGTGGTCTAGATCTCCGCTCCCGAAGCGGTGCTAATGCCGAACACATCCTCATTGCTACTTTTGTGTGCGCTCCGGTTGCTCGGGGGTGATTGTGCTCAGGAGCTGTAACAAAGACTGTGCCAAATACTACAAATCAATTTATTTCGTTTTATTGAATTGGATTAACATTGTTTATAATTACTAATTTCGAAGATTTACGATAATTTTTTTGCTCCTGTTCTGAATATTTTTAATACCCTTCATAGTAACTCTTCCTCTTCCACACGAACATCAACAAGAAGAAGAGGACATTTCACAACCATTCACCCTGAAGAAAAGCGGTCCCCGCTTGAAACGTCGGTGCAGTAAAGAAAGGCCTTTCCTGGATCTCCTCCACTTTCAAAATATATATATATATATATATATATATATATATTGTAGTCCTTACACCCCTTGTCACATATACGACACTCCAAAACTACAGTTCGCTGTGAAGTCCACTGACGTCAAACTGTCGGCCCCAACTTTTACAAGAGGCTTGATGACGACGCAATATAAGACATTAAACAGCTAAAGTACGCACCAAAGAGTACAGAAAAAAAAACACTTTTGGTTCTACTACAAGTAGTAGAACCAAAAGAAAAAAAAACGATTACTTTTTTATTTACAGTCGTTTACACATACTTAAGCTATTTTAGTAAGCTGTATGACTCGGCTATCAAGCCGTTTGTGAAAGTTGGTAGCGCCGGTTGAACGTCAGTGCGCTGTACGTCCAACTGAAGTTTAGGGGTGTCGCACGCTATGCAAAAGCTGCCTATTAACATAATCGGCGTGTTTAGGGGTTTTATGTATTGCTCTATCAAAAATAAATATTTTAATATACCGTACATTTTTTGTACCGTGTTATTTGCAATATTGCGGTCCCTCTGGACAAAACTGCGCGTTCTAAGCTCTCGTCCCGAACGGCTGGCTAACACAGACGCGCTTAAAATGCTTCGAGCATTTCTTTATTTGCCTTTAATTACCTGAAGTACGGGTATTCTATCTTTACGGGTATTCTATCTTTTTAAAGTGCTTGGAATAAATGGTCATGTTCCTTGTAACAGCCTTAAAACGCGAACCCATTCCCGATTTGTACTCCTCTACATACCGTTGCGCGACGAGTTTTCTCTATACTTATGGCAAAGAATAGACTTTCCGTAGACCGTACTACAGAGTTCTTCATTATTAACGGTAGCGTTTGCCGTCACGTTGAGCCCAGATTGAGCTGGCGGCCATGCACAAAACCAGCAATCTGCAGCGTATGCGATACACGAAAAGCCCTTATGAAATTAGACATCCCGGTCCTTCGTGCAAAGCTGTTGCAAGGCGGAGCATAAGAATTCCTTTTTTAACGCGCTCACTTTTTTCGTTAAAACGGCTTCACGCATCAAGGCCGATAGTCCCTGCCACCGTCTCCGCGCCGCCGCCACCGCTACCGTCCCCGCTCCTCTGGTTCTCCGTTCGTCCGCGAGAGGGCGAGCGGCGCGCTGGAGTTGCGAATAGGCTGTCTGAAGCCCGCCATGCAAAACTAACCAAATAAATACCAAAATCTGAGCGTTCGAATGACCCCGCGATCAATATATATTGTGCAATTGTCAGAATGGCTCAACAAACTTCGCTACCGGCTCTTCGGGGCTTGGCTTCCTGTTAACAACACGTTGTAAATCGGATAGAATCCCACTCATCTTCACTTCAACATTATACTGTTTTGTTATATTAATAAAGGATTACATTTTTACGAACGCTAACTAATATTTCGTGAGCGTCTGAAGCCCTCGCCTTGTCGCAAAGTGGAAGCCAGCTCTGAAAAACCTTTCAGAAACAACAACTAAGAAATAAAATAGAAGAAGCGGGAGAGCGGGACGACGTGTCTCCGGGAAGCTTCAAAAATACTTGGCCAACTGGTAAAAGCTTTCGGTAATAAACAAGAAAACGAAGTCGTAGGAAAGGAGGACGGGGCCTCGGCAACGCTTTGAAAAGACAAGGCGGCGCGAGCCAGGAAGGCCGAGATTGGACGTCGGTGTCCGCTGCGTTCATCATAAAACGTACTGTTTTTTTTTGGAGCGCAGCTCTTAGGCGCCCGTTTCCGGCTTGAGCGGCGTCGCCGTCGGCGTAACCGCGCGGTGCATTATGGGTAAATTTCCCCGCTAAATCTAGTGGAAAAATTTCCCCGCTAAATCTAGCGGAGAAATTTCCCCGCTAAGTCTAGCGGAAAAATTTCCCCGCTAAATCTAGCGAAAAAATTTCCCTGCTAAATTTAGCGGAAAACTTTCCACGCTAAATCTAGCGGAAAAATTTCCCCGCTAAATTTAGCAGAAAAATTTCCCCGCTAAATCTAGCGGAAAAAATTTCCCCGCTAAATATAGCGGAAAAAATTTCCCCGCTAAATCTAGTGGAAAAATTTCTCTGGGGGGTCACGTGACCCCAGGTGACCTTGGGGAGAAGGTCCTGTGACCCCACCAAGGTCACGTGACCCCCCCCCCCCCCGCCGAGGTCCCTTGACCCCCCCCCCCGGGAACACGTGAACCTCAGTACCCTTCCCTCCCCCTCCTCAAGAGCTGCGCTCTAATTCAGTGTTACAGGGAGTTGTAAACGGCTTTGATTTTTTGTGCGTGTTTTAATATATTATTATTAATGTATACTAATATTTATTAACGACATCTTGTGGAGGATTCGGTACTCACTGGATCCAATCCAAAGGGATAGGGCGTTCCCGCGTAGTTTTCTTTTGGATTCAGCATGATGGGCTGATCTGACGTTTTGTTTCTAAAAACAGGAACGCCAAAAGAAGAAAATATTTATACACCTCAAAAACAAAGAATCTTATTCATTGATTATCGTAAGGGCATCACATGTTAAAATCTGAGCCTTTTCCAGAAAAAAAGCGCACAACCTTCTTTGTTTTATAACAAAACAAATCGGAAGGTAAAAAGTGTTTAAACAGCCCGCCAATGAACAGCTCAACAAATCAATGCTTAACGCCAAACGTTATGTTGTCACAATAATGTTCCTTGTGATCGCTTCGGGCCGACCCATTCGAAAGTGCCATAATTTCCACAACGAAACGCTTTTTGCACATCACATCTGTTTTGTGACTGCGCTATTGTCACTACTCCCTAAACTAACCCCAACGTGCCTCAGTTCATTCATTCATTCAACAATCAATCAATTAATCAATCAAACAGTCAATGGTGTACCTCCCATCTTCCGGCGCGACATGGTATGATCAGATTCGTTCCTTTGGTCACAGACATCAGGGGTCGTGTGAACATAGAAATTAGTTCATTATTCGTTTACTTACCCCACAGCGCCTGTGCGGCATTCCAGTAGGGGGATTTATAGATAAAGATCAGACAATACAGCAGGGGAACAAAATTAGCGTTTCAAAATGCGCACATGCCTACATTAAAGGCCGAAGTACAACCTCGGTTTTCTGAACGGAATATCATACTTTTAGCGCTCCTCCACCTCTCCTAAGCTTTCTGGGCACCCACGTTGGGGTAAGGTGAAAAATGGCGATAATAGAGGAAAGCAGGAGGTGGGAAAAAAGTGAAAAGCGTGAGGTGTACGTTAGTCTTTAAGAAATGCACACACAAAAAATACTCAAAATCAAAGGAAAATCTCACACTGCGGCGCAAATATTCATGTTCTTCATAATTTCTACAACGTCTGAAGACAATTGGCATCATTCGCCAAAAGTTTAGGAAAAAATGGTAACGTGAACTGGCTTGGGTTGCATCTGTATTCGCGCAACTTCCTTTTATGATCGACACCATCGTACGTAGTGGGGCAAAATGTTTACTTTTCGCTGTGTATACCAACCCTAAAGTAATAGATGTCACGAAATAATTTTAACCGTAATTGCTTAAGTTCGTTTTCAGAAGATTCCAAACCGAACGATTGCTTCACACTTGTCGTGCTGAGTTCTCTACTGTAATTTTCAGCCATATCTAAATAGTTAGTTTTTGGGGGTTTCTTTTTTCTTCTAAAATTATGCGCCGGCATGGAACACACTACGTAGACACTTTAACGGCCAGTTCTGATAGTCTTTCTTATATATATACATATTGCAATAAATTCTGGCTGGCATAATTTATGTTCAAACATATTTCCTGTGCCAGATTTTCTTGAAGTTTTAAGGAGTTCACGTTACCCGAAGGGCAAGTCTTTCGGACCGTGCCAGCTGGACCCGAAGACGTTGGCCGACTTGGAAAATATGTCGTTGTAGATGAGTCCCGTGTAGATGCTGAACAGGCCCATCAACATTATGATGTAGCGTCCATTGAAAAACGTGTCCCAAATCTGGAAGAAAGAAAAATGCGATTTTCTGCGTTATAAAAAAAAAAAAAAAAAAAGACAGGACTTCTTTTTATTCTGATGTTTTTTTACTCATCTATATGTTAGCGTTAGCCGAATCGAAACTCTTCTGTGCCAAGATTTCAGTGTTTCCACCGGCCAGATCGAGGTCGCGTAGTCTGTATGCCGAGTTCAAAATACGAGTTGCGAAGAGGAGGAGAAAGCGATGATTATCTGCAAGTAGTCTTGTTAAGCGAGGTGACATTAGTTTCCAGGGATGCATGATGATTTAATAGTTCAGGCAGTGTATGTTTAACTCTTTGACGATATGCCTTGAATGTATCTGACGAGTTTGACGTACTGAAGTGCGCAATCGGAGGTCGGCGAGATTGATAAACATTTCGAATCTACCTTTTACGGCAGACTAATATGTTAATATTGATTGTTCGGAATAAACCTTTGATACACTGGTTATTGAATATCTATAAAACAGAGGTAATGAAGGGGAATTAGAAGGAACATTAACTACTGCTCGAAGTGCTTTGGTGTAACACTCTGAGCATATTTGAATTTGCTAAACCAGTTGATCCCCACATTAGAAACGCATCACATAAGCTGGGATATAAAGTGAATAGTAAGTTTTTATTTTTATACTTCTCGGTTTCTCTAAGATCACTCATTTTCTCTCTAAACACGAGAAAGCAAAATCGCGTAGTTTTTGGCTGTTAAAAACGAAAAGCAATCTTGAAAAACTACATAGGACGAAACATGATTGAACGTGTAAACAAATGTAGGGCCTGTAAGCCAGGGAAAAATAAAACTATGCATGACAAATTGTAAGTACAAAGTTTGTTACTTGTCTACACAAGTCATCCTATTAATTTGTATAACGTTCGCACAGCAAGTCGACAAGGAGTCTCAGAATCAATTATGGCGAAATTCGCTACCGTATTCTCTGGTTCGCTGGAGTATAGCATCTTTAATCGCTGACAGGGTAAGTGTGCCGAACAAATAACTCCTAAAAAGCTTTCCACTTTTTCGGCGAACACTGGAAAGGAGGCAAGTCCCTCCTCGTCTCCCTCTGCTAAAGTGGAAAGAGTAAAGGGCTTGGTGGGAGGGGCTTGTCCTGCTTCTCCTAAGAGGGGACAACCTTAAAATTACCATACTTCTTTTAAAAATTCGAATTTTTCACAAGTATTCTCGTCAGCGTTCAGATATCCTGATGGATGCTACATGACAGAAGGCTTCACTCTTGTAACTAAAGATTTTTTTGTTTCGGATATATTATTTTCGAATGCCGGCACGGCACCATCTCAAGTGCAGCTTTCTGAACTTTTAAACGCGCTTATCTTAATTCTTTTTGGCATCAAATCTCGGTTCACACGAACTATAATTTGAGAATGAATTGATGCATGGAGCCCCTTTTTAAAGCTCCTGTACTGAAATTTTGTAAGGAACGGGGCTCTAAGCTTACTTTCTACATTTTCATGTTTTTATTTTGTTATAAAACGCTGCAGTATCTTCATTTAAAAATTTCGACTTTTTTACAATTTCACTTTTAATTATACAGTGTATAATTTCTCTGATTGCTTTGTAAAGCCGCGTGACGCGGGAGTTATATTGTATGTTCCACCAGAAATAACTGCCCATTATCATTACCTTTTTAAAACGAAAGGTTTTGTCAGGGGGCGCACTTTTTTAATTGATATCATGTTGCACAACTCTTCGAAGAATAAACTTTGAAGCTCAAAACTTTGTATGTAATTCTCTTTCCCAGCTATGAATATGCCCTGCAGATTTCATTGAAATAAAACGAACAGTGAGAAAGTTCTTAGATTCTGGTCAAAACGAATAGGTGGAAGGAATGACATCTTGCTCAGATTAAGCGAAAGATGGGCACTTCACTAACGCAGCTACGAGGATTCGATTGGTTGCTATGGTCGCGTAACACCGAGACGGCGCCTCACCTCTCCGGCGTTCTTGATCTTCTGCAGGGAGGTTTCCCTAAGCACCAGAAACAGGGCGAAGAGGAACATGATGAGGCCGTGGCCGGCGTCGCCAAACATCACCGCGAACAGGAACGGGAACGTGATGATGGCGTACGGCGCTGAAACATACGCTCGTAATCCTCAGAAAAAACCTTCGTTGTAAAGTGAAAGCTTACTCACTAAAACAAAACCAAAAGTAATAAAAAAAATGAAAGACGGTTACCATTCCATGTAATGCCGAATTAGAGCGCAGCTCTTAAAGGGGCCCTGCAATCATATTTAAGCGTCTACCTTTTTTGCGGTTTCCACGTCCCTCGGGGTTCGGGCAAGCCAGCGCGCACGGAGAGAGTAACTAAATATCAGTGCATTATATTTTAACCGGGCGATGCGGAAACCTCCTCCACCGACGGGGGCGAACCGCGGTACCGAAAGCGCGCAAAATGCGACGTCTTTGGTCCTTGGCCTACTACTAGCCGCTCAAAGCTTTTTTTTAGTCGAAATACAAAATATAAGTGGCGCAAACCGTTTCAATTATTTCTAAAAGTAGTTTTTGTTCAGTATTTTACATCTGAAAGGAAAGAAATGCAGTTTATGAAGTACGGAAACAAGAAATAACGCATCGACGTACCCGCCACCAAGCGGTTGAAAAGGCGGCGCATACTAGAAAAGAGTAGTGGGATCAGGAGCCGACACGGAAAGGCCCCGGATGTACGCGGCGGCGCTGCGGTCGTTTACGGACTGGAGGATCTGACCGGCTCCGAGCGTTCCGAAGGCCTTCAGCGAGTAGGTTTGTCTTGCGTTTTGGCCATTTCGCGGTATGGCAGCGCGAAGTGGCTCCCATTCTGAACTAATCTTTACCCCGTGTTTGCTGTCGTTTGTGGCCAATGAAGTGCCATGCCGAATTAGTGTTTAATCGCGCAGCAAATGCAATGAGGGCCGCTCTGGCTGCCCGCTGTATACAGCCTATCCAGAACACGCCTTAGTGCCGCCCTCTCGCGCCGTCGACACGGTGTGCGGCAGCCGTGAGCACTCGCTGAGCTCACTATCCCTCCTCTAGTTCACGGCCACTCAAGCAACCAAGGACGTCATGAGGGAGGTTATTTTTTGCTTGTTTTTGTAATTTTAATTTGCCTATAACTTCTAAAATAAAGCGAAATTCGAGAAAAGAAAAGTTACATTAAGTTACTACGGTCAGTGCGCTCAGGTTTGGTGCAAATTAAAAACCAGTAAAAAAGTGCTTGCAGGGCCCCTTTAACGAGCAGAAGGGAAGGGTACGGAGAGAAAGGTATACCTCCTCCTCCTCCGTACCCTCTCTTCCTCCCGATTTCTCCTCCTCCTTCCTCTCCTTCACCTCTTCCTCTCCCCCTCTTCCTGATTCTTCCTCTCCCTCTCCTCCATCCTCCTCCTCCCTTCCTCCTTCCCCTCCTCCTCCCTCTCCCTCCCTCCAACCCCCCTACTCCCCCGTGACGTCACTCGTGAAGGTCTTGACCTTAACGAATAAAGGTCATACGGAGGTCATGAGTTCACGTGACCTTCACTGTAGAGGTCGTGATCTTCACGTGACCTTCACTGTAGAGGTCGTGACCTTCATGTGACCTTCACTGTAGAGGTAGTTACCTTCACTCGTGACCTTCATGACGTCACGTGTGATGTCATTATGGGAAACGTCCCATAATATGACGCGCGGTTACGCTAACGCCGACGGCGACGGCGACGCCGCTCAAGCCGAAAACGGGCGCCTAAAAGCTGCGCTCTAAAATAAAAAAAAAAAATAAAAAAATAAAAAAACAGGGGGCAACGGACGCTATAGGTATTAAAGGCTCTGTTACACCCGGCGTTGAGCGCAGCGAACGCAGTGTAGCGCAGAACGAGCGCCTTTCACTGGCCGGCGAGCAGGAACTCGATATCTGCGACCAATCAGTATCTGCGTGTTCTGCGCTACGCCGAGTTTGCTACGCTCAACGACGGAACGACGGTGTATAACAGAGCCTTAACAGTTAACACTGTAAGAAATGGCTGCGCGTGTACTTTCCCGAAAAACACTCGAAAAGCAAATATCTGCAATCCACGAAATCAGCTCAGCTAGTGATGAGGAGGAAAATCTGTTTAGACCTCAAAATTAAGTCTCCGCTATGGCTTTACGCAATGCAAGCATGACGGTTTGCATTGCGTAATACCACAGTGCAGACTTCACTTTTAAGCCTAAACGGATGTTTAAGCCTAAACGAATTCTTTATTCAGGCGCTGGCATCGATCTTCTATATTACGAGAGATAAATACATCGACACAAATCACCGAAACTGTTCCCAGCGTACACTTTAAGAAATTCCTGAGCGTCTACTTACTCGCCAAACGCCCAAAAAGCCAATCATTGCGATCTTAGAAATCAGCTCAGCGAATGATGAGGCGGAACATCCGTTTAGACCTGAAAATGAAGTCTGTGCTGTGCATTACGCAATGCAAGCATGACGTTTTGCATTGCGTAATGCCACAGCGCAGACCTCATTTTTAGGTCTAAACAGACGTTCCGTCTCGTCATTCGCTGAACTGATTTCCTAGATCGCAATGATCGACTCTTTGAGTGTTTTTTGGGTAAGTAGATGCGCAGGAATTTTTTAGAGCGTATCCAGGGTTGCTTTTGTGGTTATATCAATGACTTTATCAATGACATAAAGTCATTGATATAACCAATTTGTATGCACATAGACTGATAGCTAATTATCAACGATCCGTAAGAGAAAATAATGTCATTTCTTTAGATCTTGGTAATCTAGAAGCAAACGAGTCTGTATATCCATCGCGACGTAGGCCCCCCTGGCGTATTCCCTTTTCAAGGACAAATTTCGGTCTACAAAGATATCGCCACCAGTCACCACTTTTATTAAACACCCTGTTTTCCCGTGATATTGAAATACACTCCGTTAGCCATTATTCCATTCAAGAAGCTTTATAATAAGTAACCACCACTTTTTTGTATACTGTTGATTGCGAAGTTGAATTCTTTATGTTTTTCTCGTGTTTATCCTCTGTATATGTTTATGCCTATGTATGTGTGCGCATATCCATTCTTTTTTGTCGGTGTGTGCCGGTGCCGCTCTTACCTTGTTCTGGGGCGCTGGGACTCGTCAAGCTGCAGACCTGCAGCTTTTTTTCCAGCGCCGCTGTCACAAATGTACCGTTTGTGGCAAAGATAAACGAATTTGAATTTGAATCTCATTTTCCCAGCTACGTCAATGGCTTCAGAGAAGGTGACGGCCGTTGAACCCCCATGTGCGACGATTCTTACTTCCAAATCTCGCCCGAAATTGCTGGAATCCGAAGGAAGCTCACTGAAGTGTAGGCGCCGGGTAACTCAGCTTGCGGTTGTCCATCAAATAAGCACCAGCTGTCCTAAAGTATCCTTCAGGCGTAATCATTGGCGTGCCAGACGCCCTTCTTTGGTACTCCTTGCAAACCCCAGAATGTTCATTCCTCATGCAAGGCAACACTCTCTCTGTCCTACACAGATTAGGTAGTAGGTTTCGTGTTTAAGCCCAGTTATCATAACATATTTTGGTATCCCGTGATCGTGTTCCAATGCTTGGGGCGTAGCGAAATCGCAATCGATCAATTCCTGTAATCTGGATAAACTATATCGAAGACACTGTTCCTACGCAAGCGTGTCGCTCCCTCACCGGGGTTGACCTCCCGATAGCTGGAGACCCCGTAGGCGTCCACGATGTTCTGAAAGCCCCTGGTGAACTTGTTGGTGCGGTTGAAGGTGGGTGGCTTTTCGCTCGTCTCCATCCGGTTCAGGATTGACGGCACGTGGCTGTCGCTCGCGTCCTGCATCGGGGGACAGGTGAACACGTCGGCCTCGATCCATCACAAGAAATCGCTCGCATTTGGTTTTATTTCAGAGAACTTTATTTCTTTTTGTCATATTATAAGTTCCAATCGATAGAAGTGTAAGGTCCAACAACACATTTAGAAGAAATAAATAAAAAGAAATATTAAAATAACGACGGCAGGAACACCGGCACATAAAATACGATCAATATAAATAGGCATATACAAACTTAATGCAGCACCCAAAGTAAAAAAAAAAGTATAAATGGAATATGCAGAAGTTATGCAGTATGTAAGCATGAATTATTCTTTCAAAGTGTCACCAGGACTCAAACAACTAATTTGTCTTCTGGTTGCGCTCTAAAAAAAGTCTGTGCATCTACTTTCACGCACAACACTCGCAGAACCAATCAGCGCAACTTACGGAGGCAGCTCAGCGAATGACGATGCCGAAACATATGTTTAGACCAAAAAACGCAGTCTGAGTTGTGACAGTAAGCAATGTAAAACGTCACGCTTGCATTGCTTAATGTCACAACTCGGTCTGCGTTTTTGGTCTCAACAGATGTTTCGGCATCGTCATTCGCTGAGCTGCCCCCGCAAGTTGCGCTGATTTGTTCTCCGAGCGTTGTGCGTGAAAGTAAATCGCACAAAATTTTTTTAGTGTTTTTCAGCCCCGCGTTATCTTACCGATGTTCCGGAAACGCCTGACTTTAGAGCATGCACACGCCATAAAAACAAATACGTTTGTTTTTCTGCAATTGGTATCATGTACTCCCATGAATTTTATATCGTGACGACACAGGAAGGTCAACGTGGGTCGCTGACATGTTCCGGGAGATACAGGTACCAACTATGATTTCAGCTTCATGTGAGAGCAAATAAATATTAAAACACTGTTTAATTCTTTCTGACACGTGTTGCTGAAGGAAGGACCTTCATTTCTTTGTGGGTCTCGAAGATTTTAGTCTGAGTAGTATTGTGTCTGGGTGGTCCATAGACCGCCTTTGTGGTGTGGTGACGTCATCAGACTTATTTGTGAATCTGGGCAGGGCAAAAATACCCGTTGTTGCTTTATTTGCCGACCACTATAGATGGTTGTGGAGCCCCATCAAAGACCGTCACTGCTCGGCTTTTTTACCTGTAGAATGAGCGGATACCCTGATTCTTCATTGTTTTACGCGGATAAAAATTTTGGACGAATAGTTCGAGTAGAAAAGAGAGGAAATTTATTTTTAGGCCTGATCTCTATGTTGGTTTTGTCGAGCAGTTTCTTTTGTCTCTCTTCACAAGAACACAACAAAAAAAATCATTGTTAGTTGTGTTAAATTGTACAGCAGGATGCTGTAAAATTTAACACAACTGACACTAACACTGTAAAAAAAAGCTTTTTAAAAAAATTAGAAATAAAGGAAGCAAATAAGTTCCTTCTTTCTTACCATTCTATTCTTACCTTCCTTTAGTGAATTGTTGCCCACCTTAGTTTTACCTTAGCTTGCAGTTCACGCAGAGGCACGTAAAATAAATTTTTAATAAACCCCTGTTTCTATTATCTACAGCAAACTATTTGGAACTCCCACCCGACGCGGTTCTACACGGGCGCACTTCCTCCTCATAAACGGCATGAATGTGGGCGCAGAGCATGCGCAGTGGGCTCACCGTTGTGAAGATAGGTCCCGTAAGGGACTTTCCGAATCGGTCCTTCCAGCAACTTCGATAACGACAAGACGCATGCGCAAAGGCGCGGACGGAGTATCGGGTATCCGATATCGGAGTTATCGAACGACTTACTTAAACTCCCAATAGGCGCGACGAGTGCACGCAATCCTGCCGCCTCGTAAAAATACACTCGCGTCAATGACCACGGCCAGCGTAATGCCGCAGTCCCACTGTCCATACATCGCACAAAGGACACGGACTACAGACGGGACGACAAAATTATCTACCAACGTTCCTCGAGCATGCTCGAACTATGGCTGTTTCACACACGTGTGTGCTTCGAACACGTCTGCAGAGGGGTTTTTGTATTAACAATGTGACGGGACCTTTAAACAGGGAACGAACATGCCTCAGACACTGTCTGCATACTGTCGTCTGTATGATGCAATGCGCAGAGCAAGTCGTCTGCTTCGTGCGCAGGAGTGGCGGTGACGTCAGAACGACGCCGAGTTCTTATTGGCTGATTGAAAAAAAATAGTGGGGAGAGCTTAAGGCATTGAGCATTGAGGTCTCCCCACCATTTTTTTTTTTTTTAAATCAGCCAATAAGAGCTCGGCATCATTCTGACGTCACTGTCGCTTCAACGCAAGAAGCAGACGACTTGCTCTCCGCATAGCCGTATGACCGCGGATTAAAGGCTCGCTAGAGACTCCTTCGCAGTCATGAGTTGTACCGTGTTACCGTAACTTCGTGACTTTTCGAGATGTAAAAGTAACTAGTTTTGTAACATTTTCTGAAGTAACGATAAAATTAAACGACTCTACTTTGATCGTTGCTTTTCCCAGCTTCTTTAAGATTAAGATATCATAGGACGAGTGGAATTTAGGCACTCCTTATACCTTCTCAATGACGTCTTCCGACATTTTGATCTTTTTTCCCGACACATTGATCGCTCGAAGGACTATCTTGGCTGCCGTTTTATATTGTTTCTCAGCAATCATTACTGAACACGTCAGCCCTGAAACGACATATGCGCAGTAACCAATCTTTATATTGTGTTAAGGAAATGTAACTGAAAATAACGCCGTGACTTTTTAAAAGTACTGTGACTGTAACATTTTCGTTCTAGTAACAGTAACAGTAACTTCGCCATTTTTTCTGAAGGTAACTGTAACTGGAACACATTACTTCTTGAAAGAAACTTACCGAAGCCTGCTTCTTTGCTCCGATTTTTAAGCCCGTGTTCATGCATACGGTATCTTCATCATCAATTCGTCATGTATGGCCCTAACTCAGTTATCGTTATACTTTTTTTACGTCTTCTCCTTTCTACCCCCCCCCCCCCCCAGTCTTTCTCACTTCTTAAATTATCTTTCTTCTTTTTGCTTTTTAAACGCACGAAAATTCCTTTAGACAAACCAGAAGTACAAAGATGACCTTACCTATGAAGCAGATCATGATCATTTCCTATATTTCTTTAAATAATTCATTCATTCAATCATTCATTCATTCATTCATTCATTCATTCATTCATTCATTTGTTATTTTTTGTGCTCATGAACGGCTTGACGCCTTGGTAATGATGCACAACAAAATGTTCACAGGTTAGTTGCAAAAGTCTTAAAAGCTACGAAATTTGGGTTAAAAACATCAATATCTGCTCCCCTGAGGGTATTGTATTGTATCGTAATAAACTACTATTACTTGAGTCGGTTCCGTACTAACCAAGTCAATCAAGAACGTTTCTGTGCAGATTCAAGAACGACAGAGTGTCTTTAATTATAACGGCATTCGACGTCTTAGTTACTACGCTCACGTGAGCTGCCCATGGATGGGCTGGATCTAGCCACCCCCATTCATTTCTAAACTAGCAGTATTTAGCTCCATACCTTTCCAGCGTTCATCATCAATTCCAAAAAATGCCAAGTCATCGGGCTGTGACCACATGCGTGGCGTCTGATGTTTGGCATAGAGAGGGAGAGCTACACTACATGCTCGCAACGCGCTCCGCAGGCTAGTAAACAAATATGGCAGTGCACAGAGGGCGATTACTTGAACGGTCTACAGTGGACGCAAAGAAACTCGGAAGGCTCACGGTTCCCCTCTTGAGCGCCCTCTGTATCTCGGCGAGGGAGGCCTGCGGGCACCAGCCCTCGGCGATCAGGCACTTCTGCGTCACGTCCAGGTTGAACTGGTTGAGCACGTGGTACACGGCCTTGATCTTGACCACCTTGGTCTGCCAGCCGCAAAGGAAACGCGCCGCGTTGGCCAGCACCTTGGCTCGGTGGTCCCTCGCCTGGTTCAGGACCTAGGGTGCCACGCGGGAACAGCTTACTAATTACACAATGCGCACTATAGTAGAAGGGTATGCACTTGCGCTGGTTAGTGACTCATAGTTTAGAAGATAAAAACGCTAAAAAAAAAAAAAACAACGGACACGCGCTCCGTGGTGTTGCTCTCTTTAACTTGTCCCTTCTTGTTGTTGCTTTTGTTTTTTTGTTTTTTTTTCTTTTTGCGGTTTTTTATCTATTTAAGCTTGCAGTATAGTCTCCTGGGGATTAAGAAAAGTGGGACAAACAACTCCAAAAAAGCTCTCTGCTCGCCATGATTAATTGTTTTATCCTCTGCAATCGCCTCCTCCACTCCGCTCGCTCTGCTAAAAGGGAAAGAGTGGAGGAATTTAAGAAAAAAGCTCGTCCTGCTTTTTTTTTTTGTTGTTGCTACCGACTATAACTTAAATAACCCCCCCCCCCCCCCCCCCCCCCCCCCGGTTTGAACCTTGCGGGATTGTTATGCCTTGAACAAACGATCTCACACAAATTCTAGAATAGGCAATCTCAAAATTACTGAAATTATACGTAGTTTAAAGTTTGGGCGGGAATAAACCGTCTGTGCGAAAAGTTCGAAACTGCTATTTCGTGGATGATCGCGAGGGTTTGTTATTTGTTTTTGTTTTCAGTCTATAGTTTTGACTTTGGATGCATCATTACTGTTTGTTATTCTTTAAGAAAGAAAGGGTTATGCTTAGAAGATATGTCGCACAATTTGTGACAGCCACGGTACGTGAACTTAGTTTTCTTCTTTTATATCGTTTTATTTCCATGCTCTGTTTTCTGTCCCCGAGCCATGCACGGGGTCAATAAAGCGTCAAGCTGTGTCGTACGTCCATTTTTAAGGCGACAATTCTTCTATGTCCCATTACGTGAAGAGGCGGTGTCGGCGTTGTACCCGAAAGATTAAAACATATGTCATCCATAGGTCGGCATTTCCGAACCCACTCACTCACCATCACATCACTAATTACAGCAACATCCAAAAGTCACAGCCCTTCACATCACAAAGTACATCCACGCCCAAAAGTCACAGCCTTTCACATCACAGAGTACACCGACGTCTAAAAGTCACGGCCTTTCACATCACAAAGTACACCGACGTCCAAACGTCACAGCCCTTCACATCACAGAGTACACCGATGTCTAATATTCACGGCCCTTCACATCACAAAGTACACCGACGTCCAAAAGTCACGGCCATTCACATCACGGAGTTCAACCGGACAACAAACTCATCCCCATCACGTCACCTCAATCTCTGAACTCACAAAGTCATTCACCGTCACTTCACGAATCCGTCAAGTTCACGAAGTACTTCACCGTCACATTACGAATCCTATAGAGTTCATGAAGCGTTCCCCATCCCATCACCGCCAGCTCTGAATTCACAAAGTCGCTCACCGTCCCATCACGAATCCGACAGAGTTCATGAAGCATTCCCCATCCCATCACCGCCAACTCTGAATTCACGAAGTCGCTCACCGTCCCATCACGAGCTCATCGAGTTCAGCAAGTCGTTCCCCTCACGTCCGTGAACTGATCCCGTTCATGAAGTCGTTCGACCGGTTCGACTTCACGGCCCTTCACCGAGTCACAGCCGTTCACCGAGTCACTGTCATTCACCGAGTCACCGAGGTCACGGAAAGCGGCGTCGGCCCCTGCAGCCGCGGCCACCGCCACTGCCTCCGGCTCTCAGCCACCCTCGAAGTTCTTTCGCAGCGCCGCTGACGGCTCCAGTGTGTGTGTCAGAGTGTGTGTGTGTGTGTGTGTGTGTGGGGGGGGGGGGGGGGAGGGGAGGGGGAGGGGGGTATTGGGCTGGGCCAGGCGACGCACCCTGCACTTGTCATTTTCTTTGTTTAGCTTGTTCCCTCTGGTTTTAGTTTTGTTGTCCCGTTTTTTTTATTTTCGTTTTGTTTCGCGCTTTCTTCATCGAGCGCGCATGCTGTGGAGAGCGAGCGGCTTCTTGACTTCCCTGCTCCGAACTTGTGAGATAAGGTGCTTGTTTCCGGGAGAGTTATTAGCCTCACGGATGCCCAGAACCAAAATGGCTGCTGGTTTGTGGGCGAGCGGTATTACAAAGGGTGGCATCACTCTAGCAAAGCGCGCATGAAGGCTCCCTAGACTTCGCCTCGTTGTCGGCGTTTTGATTGTGGAGGGGACCCCACCTCAAAACCTTCTGGCCTGTCCTTTTTTTTTTTTTTACCTTTTGTTGCGCACGGTTTTTTCTACGAAAAAAACAAGAAGGCGCTTATATTTTTGCCAACGACCGCTCGCCGAGGGGGCAAAAAGGAGAGACAGACACGAACCTGCCTGCACGATGTTTGTAAAACATCTTACAAACATTAATACGAGTCCATTTTATATGAATGAAGACGTTTTAGCGCATTAGAGTTTAGCGAATAGAGATCATATACGCGAGTCGACGTTTAGGCATTTGTAGGGGCGGCAAACTGGGCATCCAAACAGACCGCGCCAGGCGGTCTGTTCAGAACGATAGCAAGGGGTGCTTCGCTATAGACCTTTTCATTTCAGTAGTTGCCTAACCGGCGGGTAGAGGGCGCTGGCGCACTCGCCGCCATTAGGTTGCTTCAATTTGGTCGGTTTCGGTTTCAACGTGCACGCGATCGTGATGCTGTTTCATGCCACTTTCGATTAATTTTGCGAAATGAATTTCTTTCTAGTAGCACACAGCGAATGAAACAATAGTATTGAGCCACTTGGCAAACCACGAAGTGGTTTCGAGCCTAAATTGCGATCTTTTTTTACGAACACTATATGCGTCTGATTCCGTCCATCCTTAAATGCGGCCAGTTTCGGCGGTGAAACAACTGCGCTGATGCACAGGGAGAAGTACCGTTGTCTACCGCCGTACCCTCGGACACTAAGTTCAAGAAGAAAAAAAAATTAAGAGCAGGACAAGCTTCCCCTGCAGCGTGCGCTCTTGCCTGCCGCCGTGCTTTGGCTGTGCGTGCACCGAGCGGTACGGAAGGTAGGTAGCTCGCACTCAAGTCAGATATCGAACTGATCATCTTATATTGCAACAGACTATATTGCATGAGTGCTTAGTGAAAAAGCAGGTCGACAACATGATTACCAATCTGCTGAATCACCAAGAACAGATGAACTGACAAGTTTACTGTTTTGGTTTCCGAACACCAACTTTCTCTAACTTCGAGACTGGAAACGTCTTTTATGATGACTAGTTTCATCTAATCACGTAGATAATATAAAAAAGTGATATTGTCCCAGTCTGTTTTATTTAAAGAAATTAAGCGCTCGAGAAATATTTTGATAGACTAGCCTAGGCTGACTAGAAAATGTCTTTAACTAAAGTACTCATTTACAGGATTTCAAGATATTGGCCTTATGAAATAAACTTCTTGTAATATGGACATTTGCTTACGACGTTCTCAAGTTATGAGAATGGTAAGATAAGTGAATGCCAGACTTCAAATAAAGTCTGATATTCATCTTCCGTAAAATTTGCCGAATGAAATTGAAGAGCGCAAAAGAAATGATCTCCGATAGGTTTGGCTGAAGTCGAACGCCAGGCGCCACCCACTGGTACTGTGTAGAAAGCTGTTCACTGATTTGAAACGGCGCTTTGCACATTTTGACGTCGCCATCTACTGAAAGTAACTCCCTATTCAAAGTCGACCACCGGCTGCACACGGGTGATTTTCATGCAGAAGGATTCTTTTCGGCGTCACATTTTGTGAATCATAGGCACTATCAAGCTGTCTGTGACAGTTTCTTACGCGGGGAGTTGGAATATTTGTGTTGAAATAAATTAATTGAAACTACATGGTTATATTAAAAAATGACTTAAGCAACTGAAATACTATGGACATGGGACCAAGCACGATATACAATTCCGTAAAATTCATAAATAAACCGATAAAGCGAATGCTTATATAAAACACGCGATTAAGAACGTAAACCAGGTATAGGTGTGATATTGCGAACAAACAAGGTGCTTAATGTTAAGGTACCATTATTTCTAGCATAAAAATAATTCAGACAAAATGTTTGTTCCCGAGTCTTGTCCACAAGTTCCCTAGTGTAATCAAAAGAAACTGTTTTCGATCTGTTGTAACTACAAAATACCATGCTTTCAGGAAAAACACGTGGCTAATTATGCTGAATCTTTTTGTTTCCTTCCTTGACACCAATGCGCACTCATATATATAATAACATTAGGCTTCCTACTGCAAATGTTCCGCCCTTATTAGTAACCAAACCTCAGTTCTCATAAGTTATGGGTATTTGAACCCTCGAGGCTCTCTTCAACTTATATATGTATTCAATGTGCGCAAGTGCTAACGCTGATACCTGTTTCTATAAAACCTCTTCACACGTATTTCGCACGCCGACGGTAAAAAATATTCAAAACGTGTTACAAAATCAACTACAGAAGTTGCGCGCATAATGATGTAATGCAATTGCATGGTAAGTATGAGTATCGGACGACACTTCACGGAGTAAGGCAAGAGACGCGGTGAAACGCGACGAAAAACACGATTTCAACGCATCCGCCAAGGTGCGGACGGGAGAGCGGAGCAACAAGTTGAAGCAACCTAATGGCGGCCGCATCACGTGATTCCAAGATGGCAGCGCCCATGCGGCGGAGGGTGAAAAGGTCTATAGTTTGGCGAAAATAATATGAACTCAAGTTTGAGCGTCCATCGCCAAAGGTTCGGCAAGCTCGAAAACAGGACAGCGGCGGCCTTCATTTTATCTATTCGGTCAAATGAACGCCGCCATTCGCTAAAGTGGCATTCGATGAAACGTCGTGGGCCAGGTTTCGCTCGCTAAACCGTCGTTCGATCAGTACAAAATTGTTCTGTGTATTTTATCTTAATAATTATGATCCATGGCAACCAGCCTATCGTTGCCTACCTCACTTTACGTCGTAAAATAGCGCGTTGATGTCACTTTCATAAGAGATACCATAATAACGCAGTACTTCACAACC